ATTCAATTGATCCGAATCAACATAAAATAGAATCTAATCAAAACATCGAGAACTGTATTGAACGCTCAGACAGCGGTCAGCGTCATCTAAGTTCTGCTCTTCACGTTTCCAACCGCCTTGTCAGCTCTCATGAGATTTCTGAGGTTTTATTATCGACGGTCTTAATTCGCATTGTAAATGGAAATAAATCAATTGTTTGCCGTGGATTACTGGACAGCGGTTCTCAAAGTAATTTTGTTAGTGAGAAAATTTGTAAATTTTTAGATTTAAAATTTCGAAGAGTAGAACATTTGGTCAAGGGTGTTGGAGAGGCGCTAGCAAAAATTAATAATGAAGCTATTGTCACGCTAAGTTCTTGCGAAGGAGATTTTAGTATGGAGACTCATTGTTTGGTTATTCCCAATATTACGGGAAAGTTACCGATTAGGTCTTTTAATAAAAATGATTTAAAAATTCCCTTAGGTTTAAAGTTGGCAGATCCAGATTTTAATGTGTCTAATGATATAGATTTATTGCTAGGATCGAGTATATTTTGGTCTGTTTTGTTATCAGGTAGAAAAACTTTGGGTCCAAATATGCCAATTTTGCAAAATACAGAATTTGGTTGGATAATTGCTGGGAATTTATATCTTAATTCGTTAGAGCCTAAAAATTCTCTTACATTTTTTAATGTGAATACTTATACTAATAATGATTCAATAAATAATCAAGTAATAAAGTTCTGGGAAGTTGAAGAATTGGGTTCGCAAAAGAAAATATATTCAAACGAAGAAATGTTTTGCGAAAATTATTTTAAGGAAACTGTTAAAAAGGATTCTTCAGGAAGATATATAGTTAAAATCCCATTTAAGAATACAATAAATGAATTAGGGGATTCTAAAACTATGGCATTGCATAGATTTGACTTATTGGAAAAACGTTTAAACAAAAATACAGATTTGAAAAATATGTATGTTAATTTTATGAATGAGTATATAGAATTAGGCCATATGTCTGAAACGGATTTTAACAATGATAACGGATATTTTTTACCGCATCATGCTGTGGTAAAACAGTCTAGTTTGACGACTAAATGTCGAGTAGTCTTTGATGGTTCTGCAAAATCAAGTTCAGGTCTGTCTATAAATGATGTGCAGTATATAGGTCCATCTCTTCAACAAGATATATTTTTAATTCTCCTAAGGTTTCGTCTACACAAGTATGTAATAAGCAGTGATATCTCAAAAATGTATCGTCAAGTTATGGTAGACGAAGATGATTGTCAATTTCAAAAAATTATTTGGCGTGCAGACTCACAGGAGGATTTAAAATGTTATAAGTTAAATACTGTTACATACGGTACCGCATCTGCGCCGTATCTGGCTGTTAAAAGTTTGATACAAGCTGCTGAAGATAATAAGCATGATTATCCATTAGCATCAAATATAATTAAGCGAGACTTCTATATGGACGATTTGCTTAGTTCCTCAGATTCAAAAGAGGAAATAATAAAGATACAAAAAGATGTTTCGAAAATTTTGAGTGATTCGGGGTTTGAGTTACGAAAATGGCTTTGCAATGATCCAAATATAGTTAAAGATTTTAACATTAATAATGATTTAGATGTTGCTGTACTCCCATTAGGTGAGCAAAACAAAATGTTAGGGATCTATTGGGATCCACAGAACGATTTTATACGGTATAAAATAAATATTGATTATTCTATTGAACCAGGTCAATGGAATAAACGTAGTATTCTGTCGGTAATTTGTCAGATATACGATCCATTGGGACTATTAGGTCCGATTGTAATAAATGCAAAGCTAATCATGCAAGATTTATGGAAAAGAAAATTTGGATGGGACCAAGAGTTACCGCCAGACTTTATTAAAATTTGGTTAGAATTTTACAGTAACTTAAATTCTTTGAATGCATTAAAAATACCACGTCATGCTAGTATATCAGGTTATATTAATATTGAATTACATGGTTTCAGTGACGCATCTACACGGGCTTATGGTTGTTGTATATATATAAGATGTTTAATGTCATCTGGATCTTACATATGTAATTTGTTATGTGCGAAATCACGGGTTGCACCATTGAAATTGTTAAGTCTTCCTAGATTGGAACTTTGTGCGACAGTTTTACTAGCTAATTTATTGAAAAGGGTTTCGGATTTTATATATATTCCAGTTAATGGTATTTATTGTTGGACTGACTCCACAATTTGTTTGAGTTGGATTAAAGGTGATCCTAGTAAATGGAAACAATTTGTTGCCAATCGAGTGCAAGAGATACAAAATTTGACTAGTATGAATTCCTGGAACCATGTTCGTTCAGAACACAATCCAGCTGATTTGTTGTCACGAGGATTCTCGGCAGACAATTTAAGGAATAATAACTTGTGGTGGTCTGGACCAGAATGGCTTCTTGAAGATAGTAAAGAATGGAATATTTTAAATCCTGAACCGTGCCAGAATGTACCGGAAGCAAAGGTTGTTTCTTGTATTGCTGTAAATAACTTTAATTTGGTTAACTATTTGTTAGAGCGTTTTTCTTCATTGAACAAATTTTTAAGGATTTTAGCATATATTTTACGATTTTCTAATAATTGTAAAGTTGAACTATCGAAGAGAAGGACTGGTATACTGACACCAGAAGAGATTGAAGCAGCTCTAACATTAGCAATCAATTCTGTTCAACAGGAATGTTTTCCCTTAGAATACAAGAATTTAATTAATAATAAAGAAATACCAAATAAAAGTAAAATCATAACATTGAATCCTTTTATTCATGAAAGGTTACTAAAGGTTGGTGGACGTTTAAGAAATAGTAATATTCCGTTTAACAGCAAACACCAAATTATTTTACCAAATAATCATGTTTTAACAAAAAGAATTCTATTAAATGAACATGAACGATTGCTTCATTGTGGTGTTCAACAATTAATTTTTTCATTAAGGCAAAAATATTGGCCTATTTCAGCTCGTAGCTGCTGTAAATATGTAATAAATAAATGTATAGCTTGTTTTAAAACTAAGCCAAAACCTTTAAATTATTTAATGGGTGATTTGCCCCAGAATAGGGTAAATAGTTTTTCAGTTTTTCAAAATGTAGGTACTGACTATGGTGGTCCGTTCCTTATCAAGGATCGAAAAACTAGAGGTGCTAAATTAATCAAGGCTTATATTTGCATTTTTATTTGTATGTGTACTAAGGCTGTACACATTGAGTTAGTGTCAGACCTTACCACTGATGCGTTTTTAGCGAGTTTCAAAAGATTTATTAGTAGAAGAGGAAGACCTTCTAATATTTACTCTGATAATGGTTCAAATTATATAGGCGCAAACAAGGAAATAAATGCTGTTTATGAGTTTTTAGAAAATTCATCTGACTCCATTTCTCAAAGTCTATTACATGAAAAAATAAAATGGCATTTTATACCTGCAAATTCTCCTACGTTTGGGGGTTTATGGGAAGCGGGAATAAAAAGTATCAAGTCTCATTTAAAAAGAGTAATGGGTTGTCGGTCTATGACTTTTGAAGAATTTAGTACATTGTTGCATCAGGTGGAAGGTATATTGAATTCTAGGCCACTTTGTCCTATTTCCGGCGATCCTGATGATAGCACTGCCTTAACGCCAGCACACTTTATAATTGGACGTACTTTAACTATGTTGCCAGAGTGTGATATTACTCATGTTCCTGAGAACCGTCTTGATAAATGGCAATCTATACAAGTAATGGTTCAACAGCTGTGGTCGAGATGGCAACTGGAATACTTGAACGAGCTACAAATGCGCCAGAAATGGAAATATAATTGCCACCAAATGTTAAAGCTAGGTTCTTTGGTGCTGATTAAAGACGACAGGACTCCTCCACTTCAATGGCCTCTTGGACGAGTGACAGAAATGCATCCAGGTCCAGATGGAGTTACTAGAGTTGTAACTGTTAAAGTGCGTGGTAGTGAAACAAAAAGAGCACTCAATCGTATATGTGTTTTGCCAATAGACTGTTAATTTTAGTTGTTCAATTCATAATGTTTTGTATGTTAATTTCAATTTAAGTAATGAGAATTGACAATTTTTAACTGTATTGTTAACCATTTCTTTTAATTCATTAATCATTGTTTTTATTTTGTTAGTTCTGTAGGTTTTGAAAGAAACTGCGTCCTTTCAAGGGGGCCGACATGTTTAGACATAAATTTTATTTTGTTAAGCTTAGGTACTTGTGTAGTAAAAGACAAGGCAAGCCTGTCATGATTGATGTAACGGCTGTCAAATGATAATTTCGCTCTCTTGTCATGCAGCAATAAATAGGTAAACACGTCTCCCTAATTAATTAAAGTTTTTTATATTTGTAATAATAAATGGTACAAGCAGGAATATGGTAAATCATCAATGATTAGCCAGAAGTTCATACAAGAAGATAGGTACAGGAAAAAATTGATTCAAAACCTAGATATGTAAGAGTAATATTCTTAGCCAGAATGGAAAGCATAAGTTTAAAACAAGCAGTTGACAATGCTGTGGATGCTTGGGCTGATGTTTATTTATTATAGCTGAATCAACTGTTTTGTTTTCTAAAGATGACCTAAAGATGCCTAAAGATGACATAAACAAATGATTAATTTGTGATTAATTAATGTGGTAAATGAGTAATTACTGTGGTTAATGATTTTACGTTGATTAAGAAATTCAGCTGTTGCAAAATGTGAAGTAACAATAAAGCAAATAAAGATTCGGAATAATTTAAATCAAATTGATTCGACTGTACTAACATAAATCCCTCTTATACTGTCAAATAAAACATACAAATAAAATTTGAGAGTTATACTATGAATTTTTTTTTAATGTTCTGTTAACCATCTTTTCGATTATCTGTCATATCCTTGGTCAGGTGCCCTGACTGTATTAATATAATAAAAACTTGTTATCTTAACTAAAATTTTACTATAGACAGTTTATTGTAATCTTTTATTTATATGAAAAAAAATAGAAACTCTTTTAAAAACACACCTCTCCAATCTCTCCAGATTTAATAACTTCTATCATTTTATCATAAGCTGGAAAACATCTAGACCATACTGCTTCCATTAAAAACAAGTTCTTTTCTTTAGAGATATCCAGCAACATTTTCGTTTGCTTTTCATTCATGGTAAATGGTTTTTCACAGAGAACATGCTTCCCATTTTCCAACATTAACTAAAATTAAATGAAAAATAATAATATACCACCATTCACAGATATACTAACTTGTAACAACATATCTGCTGATGATCAATATACTTACAAACTCATAACTAACAGTGCAATTTTCAAACTAAGTAAATATTCTTATTCTTTAATCAGAACCGTTTAATGGTTGGATTAAAAGGAACATATTCTTCGAATTTGTCTTGTGTTTATTGTGTTGAGGACAGTTAGGCTGTGACCTTCATATGGATAGGTACCAACTTTAAACAGAAACCACAGTATATTACTAAAGAATTCTTTATAAAGTAATATACTGTGCAGAAACTACTAAAAGCTACTCTACTCTGATAAATGAGATAGCTACATATGACATTCTACAGGATATTTAATTAACTATCCTATATGGTAGTGGTATGTTGTGATGTTCTATGTGGTAGTGGTATGTTGCAATTTTAGCACCTAATTGTTGTTAGTTTTATCCAAATAAGAGATTGAATTTGGAAATGGATGGAAACAATATATTTTTTATATAGGACATTATATCATTGATAAGTTCGCTAAATTTGAAAGTATCTGTAATATTGAAATCATTTTTATTGTTGTAAGAAACATATTAGCTCAGTTGTTAATAAGATTGTAATTGGATAGTTGACGAATAAAAAGACACTTTCAGTTTATGTTTATTAATTTTTGTAGACAGTAAAATATTGATGCTATAACATATTAAAACATTATTTTGAGAAACTTGTAAAATGCCCAAATCTACAATGGAAGGACCTACCTTGATGATAGTATAAGAATCAGATCTATAACATTATAACTTATAATAAACAAATTATTCACATTTATCTACACATAGAGCTGCATTAATTTGTTTTAACTCCCAATGTAATTACAATCTGTAGTATAATTTCGATAAGTAAATTGTCTGTATGATATTTAACAAATGGTTGGTAAAAAATTGATTATTGACTTGCCTGTATATTCTTGGCACTGGAATCAGGTGCTAACAAGTCTTAGGGTTTGGTTGGGCTTCTTCTAACTTCAAATGAAGATATTTAGATATATTTCTCTACTGAGAAATATATAGGAACAGAAATATTTGAACTTTATAAACCTACAGAAAGTTATACATATACATGGATGAAAATAAATAGCAAATATTTCAAATACAAAAAAAAAATAACATTGTCAGTACACAGTCTGAGAACTCTAGTCTGACTCTAGTGAAACAGACAGTTGTATGCAACAAATTAAATTCTTATTGAGTAGAACATTATCAAGCAAGATCCTGCAACACATAGTAGCTATTAACCTCTTCAAAAGGACCCTAAGACATTTTGAGAAGTCATGGTGAAAATAGTGTCTAAATATTAATGTTACTGAATACATACACTTATTGTAAACTAATTAATCTTGATGTTTATCACATGTATTCAACTCCAGAATGAAAATGAGATAAAACCAGAATCTCCCAACCATTTTTGGGATTATTATAATATTTCGGGTAATGAATGAGAAAATGTGAAAAATAATTTACATATATGCAATATTACACAAACCATTTATGTACTTACTTTTACTACTTCATAATGTTGTGGATTTAACACCCCAACATAAACTATGTTCACATTTTCATCTTTGGCCAATTTATCATAACCTTCATAAGCATTAGGAATACCATGAGCTTTAGCGAATTTGTCTGAATTACTTTGTGACCTACTCGCAATTGCTACAACCTTATGGTCAGATAATGGTAAGGCCTTTAAGGCTGACACAAAATCATTGGATATTTTACCAGCTGCAGCAATTCCCCATTTTAATAACATTGTTAAATACTATGATTTTAAACCTGTAATCGCTAAAATTTTAATGGAACTGTATTTAACTTGTGATTGAAACTAATTCAATAACTGATAACTAAATAGATTCACCCATCACCTACAAATTGTAAACAAAACACTTAACCGCTACCGGCAATCATCATACCGGCGACCGGTTATTTTCACTTATATAATGACATTTGACAATTAGCCCAGTCTGTGGGGGTAAAAAAGGGTGATTTGATTTTACAATGTAATCCAGGAATTGATGTAATGGGGCCTAGGTTATAAAGGGCAACATCAGGATCAATCCCCTAGTTCATTCAACAAAAAATTTTTGGTTATTGTTTATTTATGAGCGTTTATAGGTACAAAATACGTATTTTTTGAGTTTTTTTTTATTTTTTGCCTAAAGTAAGTGTTGTAATGGGTAATTTCTGTATAGATTTTGAAAGTACTCTAAAAGACTTTCAATTTGAGCCGGTATACGTTCAATTTAATTTATTTATTAGTGATTTTCTCCATTTGTTCTGTTTGATTGCTCTTACAACTTCTGACTTAAATATTTTGGGGAAGGGTTCACTTCTATATTCACTTTTGAGAGTTTCTTCTAGTGTTGTCTGAGTATCGCTGCTGTGTGTAGTTTCTCCAATGTTGAAGTAGATCCTTGGGATCAGTAATTAATTTATTATCCTTCACAATACTGTTAAAACTGCAAGGTTTTATATGGCCTGTCACTTTTTTAACGAGTTTATATATCGTCGTTAGGAATGAAATATCTCCAATGTGAAAATATCCTAATTTTACAGGAGACACAAAAAACAGTTAAATAACGCTATTTTATATTGTATTAAATTAGTAATTGATTTTTTTGGCCAAACTAAGATTGATATTGATATTAAGGTGAAATTGATTCCTTAAATCAGTACAAAACATTAAACTAATAAAAAAAATATTACAAACGCGCACATTGGAGAAATTATAAATGATTGAACCGGTAGCAGGAATTTCAAATATTGTGTATGGCATGTCATAGTACTATACACCTTGAATTTGTTGTTATTAGGGGAAAAAGAGTCATATAAACAGTGAAGTGATTTGTATTATCTTTATTTTAAATAAACAAACTTCGACATGTAGTATCAGTGTATGATATTTTTACGAACACCACCGAAAGTATTATTTTTTGTTGATTTTAGGAAGAGTATCGTAAAAGTGATGATGATCTTTTTCAATAACTGATTTGAGGTTTTGCAGATGTTTGAACTTGTCTTCTGATATTTCAGGAGGTGTCTTGAAGAGCGAGTTTTCATAAACCGGCAGGTCTTGGCTTTCTCTTCTGTGTGGTAGTAGCTTCCAGTTATCTGAGTAATCAGTGGTGTAGTATACCTCTCCATTGGGACTATATTTTAATTGTCTTATATCTACAACTTTGGCATTTTTTTTCCAGGTCTTATTGAACGAAAGTTACTATCAATAGCATACTTTTTAAAGAACGTAAAATCTACGTTTTTAATATTATACGGATGTTTTGGCCGAGCAAGACGCATTCTAGCAATGTAATCCATCGGTGAATTAATTGGAGTCTGAAAGTAATGTTCCAAAGTTAAATGAACTGAATCTGCTTCCATCATAGTATGGCCTTTTTCAAGATATAACTGCTGTATTGTAAGGGATTTTGCTCTTGCTGAATCACTTAAAGCACAAGCCAGAGTTCTTTCTCGATTTTGGTAGTTGCATCCATCTTAGATGAATACAAGAGTTTGATAGTTAGCAGGAATATTATTTATATAATCTATAAGACAAGGTGTAAATTCATTGCTACTGACTCCACCATTTGCTTCATGCCAAACGTACAACTGGACATCTTCATCATTTAGAGAATAAATGGTGAAGTTGTGTACTTGGAGTATGAGCTTATAATACGATTAGAAAGCTAATACTTTTGGACACGTTAAGAAACTTTGAATATCAACTGTGAGAACCAATTTTTCAGAATTTGCCCTACTTTTTAATAACTCTTTGCCCGTCTTCCTTCTTTCTGCTTTGACATGTGCTGATCACAATCTTCAGTACTTATTGTCTTCATTTTATGTGCAACACACGTATCACATTGATCTTTCCTTTGCTTATTATGTATGCCAATTTTCTCTGCTTCTAAAATAATTTTAAACAACTTGATATGAGCAACTGACTGTTTTCTATCATCGCACCATTCTTTATATAATCTGTACATGTTATTTGTTGTTATGATACTGTTGTCAACATATATTCTGCTAGTAGATGCTCTACAATAGTGTGAAGGAACTTTAGGAATATCTTGCAACCATTCCATAACATTATTTTCTTTGCAAATTTGTCTCATTTTTCTTGGAGTAATCTTGTTGAATGTTGGAATCTTGTAGACTTCACTAGAAGTATCAATTTCATGAGTGGCTGGCTCCCGTGAGACCCATCGTTTCATTTTGTCTTCTCCTAAATTTAATGTGTTCAAAAACATAACTCTCGGCATACCTTGAGGTAACTTCCGTCTTTAGAAACAAAAAAAGTCACGAGCACTCTTCTTTTTGGACCGTTTGTCTGAATTTGAGTATATTTTCGGCGCCTTTGCACTGCTCTTACCCGAACAAGATTTTTAACATAAGTGCTTCTATGTTCCCACGACGTAAATGTCCAAAATTTTTTTAAAATTCGTAGTCTATCGTCCTGCGTAATTAAAGAACATCAAAATGAGTGTTCTTTTAAACATTTTGGCGTTATAATATGGTTACATCGCTCCTTAACTGACATGCCATTCCGTCTGGTAATATGTTGTACATCGCCAAAACACAAATTTTGCCTTTTTCATGTTCCAATATAGTAGCTGCAGGCAAACTGAAATAAGAAAAATAATTATTACCTACTTAATTTAAGCAATAATGAGATGAAAGATATCTAACCGTAGTAGTGAATTTGTTTACATACCTGTTGTTGGATTTTTCATTATAAATTTCATTTTCAATAGGAGCAAAAGTTTGGATAGAATTTTGCCGATCTTACTTAACTGAATTTTGTACAACTATTTTAGTTCTTGTCTTGAAAACACTCATTTTGCACTGGTAAATAGCTTATTTGAGAAAATTTGAGGATAGGAATTTGACAGATGAAAGTATGAAATACCTCCAATGTGCAGATATTATAATAGATAATAGCTCCAATGTGTTTTTTAAGCACATTGGATTTATTTCAGTCCAACAATTAATAATATGTTACATTGGAGTAATGCATTTTTATACATTAGGGAAGTTAGGAATCGGTACACACATTGGATATTTTTCTAGACTGTAAAACTATTCATAGCGATTCAGAATCGTTTAAAATCTGAATTACTAGAAATTTGCACATTGGAGGTATTTCATTCCTAACGACGATATGTTAAAGTGGTCATGTTTTTCTTCCAATTCCTCCATTGCTGCACACCTAGCCATTGTTCTTTAGCTTTACGACACTCTTTTCGTATTTGTCGGTTAATCTGCGGATGTTTGGTTCGGTTTTTGTTTTTAAATGATCTGCGATCGTCCATGATTGATAATATTTCGTCAGTCATTAAATTATTCTTCTTGTACTTTTAAAAAATAATCTTAAACTGATTGGTTTCATATTTTATTCGAAAATAACAATAATCTGACAACGAAAAATAAAAACATTTATCAAATTATAATCTTAAATATTATCACACATAAACAAGTTAATAAAAAAATATCAATATATCAAAACGATACAAAACATTTGTTTAATAGTTACTTAAAGCAAATATTGGCACTAAGATAAGAACAAAAATTAAGATGATGTTACATTATTTAAGTAAATCATTTATCATTGTATATTCTACACTGACATATCAACGACATAAACATGAAATCAGCCAATTACTTAAATGTTATATAGTCAATATTGAATGAGGCAAAGGTTCCTCAAAAGATTAATAAGATTCTCCATCTGCAGGATAGACTACTCCCAATTCATCCCTCAATTTATCCATCATCTTTGCCAATTCCAAGGAATTCTCGTGGGTAATTTTGGGACTTTCTATTTTATTTTTCATTATACATTGCCTTGCCTCTTCGGCTTCATACGCCAAACCAGCACTGTTAAGATAGTTGAACTCTGCTTCATTTTTAATCAACGGGAATTCCAATACTTCACCGTTCACTTCTAGAGTTGTGGGACTCCAAAACGTAGGTACCTTAATGCATCCTTTGGTGCCATAAACCACACCTGTTTAAAAAATAAGGTAAAATATTTATCGTGTAATAGCCAATAGGCAAATAATAGGTCTTCGAAATTTTGTACACAGGGTTAGGATAAAGTATGGAATCAAGTAAATATCTTTGAAAGAAAAAGGACGATATTCGTGAAAACTTTGCATGCAAGTACAATGACATATAAATATTCTGTTGAAATGCAATGATAATTTGGTTATTAAGTAAAACTAAATACTTGCCACCAGTCAAGTTTTCATATATAAAAATGTTTAAATTTTAAGACAGACTTCAAAACATTTTCATATAATTAATATATATGTCTATCTGTATGTCAGTAACGAAAACTCCAACGCAGTCATTACCTCATTTCTCCGTTGTTGTTAGTCCAATTGGAGCGGGTGATGCGTTAAATGAATAAATAGGAGGGGAGAAAGATTATATTGAGATACAAAAATCAAACAAGACAAGACAAATACATCTTCGTTATTAATGCATGTACATATGAATGAATGACACATTAGATATCATAGGACACTATATGGATAAACATAGCTTTACTTTACGACAAATTTTGATTTATTGGCTTAAATAAGGCCTCTGACTGAGTACAAGATAAACAGTTGATCATATCTTAACATGCGTCATAGCAAAGAAACGAGGAGGTTATGAGGCCATTATGTGCAAAACTTGCTAATCGACAACAGTTTCGAAAATTATTTTTTTTTAATAAGTTTATTTTAATTTTAAGAAGCAAACGAATGATATAATCAGAATTTCCCAAAACTCGTTTTTTAGCGTACAAATGCTGTCGAGATAATTACAGTTATTTGCAGAACTTGCTCTTTGCTTTGAATGTTTACCTGAAAAACTCGATGTTTGCTCTACCACAAATGAAATTTGCCGGTTGATTCATGTGACGAACACGCGCTACTACAACAGCTATGTTGAAAAAACAAATTTTCAGTAATCTATAATTATTCAAGCGATTAAACAGTGGTATTTGACGAATTAGGAGCAGTTTTTTTATTTTTATCGAGTTAGTAAGTGAAAATGGTTGTTTGGTTAAACCTAGTCCACAGAAAAAAGGGCTCAAAAAAGTTCTTCGGTCACAAACACATACAAGGAATGTATATATAAACTTGCTAGATAAGTGCTCCATATTAAAATTTATGATTTTAGACTTCTGCGACAATCGTTTAATTTTTTATGCAGTATCACTTGTTTTTTGTGCTTTAACGTTGGGTAGGGCTACAGGAAAGTTTATTAAAAGAGTTGTATTGTTACAGAAATACATCAAAAGCCTGCCGGCCTTTCCAACTTGTGGTCATAATGGACGAACCGGATTGCCGTATTATTGTACCACACTTACGATGAAGCAAGTGATAGATTTCCATGCCTACTATTATCAGTCAAAAGATAAAAGTAAACCAGACCTTCTGATACTGGCTTGTTGTAGGGGACAGAAACCAAAAAGAGGGAAATCTAATTATGCTCCAGTGTCGATAAAATACCATGTACATTTGAGTGAGTGTAAGATAATTAGAGTATGTGCCAAATCGTTCCTAGGAATCACAAATTTAAGTAAGGACCGCATACAAAGAATTTTTGTTATCACTAGGGAGATACCCAGGGAACGTGGAGGTGGTAATAAACATTACTCGGCCGTTAATCGTTTTTTTTTTCGATTTTCCAAAAAATGACTTTCGAGCAAAGAGAACAGTTTTGCCAATAATGGCCTCATATAACGAATTAAATTAAGATAAAAAAAAACAAAAAGGCAACTACCAAAAGGGCCCTACACAGCATTATATTTATTAACATATACGAGACATCATAGACACTATGGATAAAAATAGATTTACTTTAAAAGACAAATTTTGATTTATTGACTTTAAGAACACTTCTCGCTGAGTAAAAAGTAAACAATTGGTTGAATTCTAACATGAGACATAGCAAATGAAAGGGAAGGAAAAAACGAATATATTAGGATAGAAAAACGTAATTAATTGTTAGTTGCTACCACCCATGGAGAAACGATGACGACTTAGATCGAGGTTTGTTTGTCACTAAATCGCAAACATGATAGTGTAGCTTAAACATTTTGTGCGTCTTAAAACGTCTTATTTTGCATTTGGCATATTCATTTATATCGATTACATTTGTCTCCTATTCCTATTCGATATTTAGGAAGAAATCAGTGATGATAACTTGGTTTATTCTACAAAATCAAAAAACTTACCTTCGCACGAAAATTGCGCAAGTGAAGATATAGAAAGAACCGCTGTTTTTCCTCCAGGATAAGTCAAAACAGTTGCAAGAGCCGTATCAATCCCCTCTTCATTTAAATGTCCATTGGCTACAATTTTTATTGGCTTCAAACCATTGAACACATACTGCTGAAACTGTAGGTTGTACACACCGAGATCTAAAATAACTCCTCCACCTAGATCTTTGTTTTTTATACGATCAATATGGTTAATTGGTTCTCCAAATTCTACAGATACTTGTACAACCTAAAATATCATAGTTACATATATTTGAGTAAAATTCATTCTCCAGTTAAGTTGGTTGTTTTGAAATAATATTTCTTATAGCAAATTTATATATTGAACAAGTTTTTTTGAGATATATTTTTTTTTCTTTCCGTTTCTTATCATTAAGTATTAATTTTATGATTTCAAAGTTAACATAATGGTATTGTACAAATTTACTATTTTAGACTCTTGCAATATTATTATAGGTCGCTACCCACAGATTAAAAAACACTGCTCTAAACTTTCCACATCAACGTATAAAAGACTTACCTCTCCAATTTTTCCAGATTTAATAACTTCTATCATTTTATCATACGCTGGAAAACATCTAGACCATACTGCTTCCATTAAAAACAAATTATTTTCCTTAGAGATATCCAGCAACTTTTTAGTTTGCTTAGCATTCATGGTAAATGGCTTTTCACAAAGTACATGCTTCCCATGTTCCAGCATTAACTAAAAATATATTGAAAACAATGTGTATTAGAATACATCTACTGGAAAAAGAAGAATTTTCCTAAATAAGAAGATATTAACTATAGTTTTTGTGTTCTGATTTAGAGTTTGTATAATTTGATACTAAGATATTTAAGTTATTTTGACAGGCTTCTTTATCTACTGTACATACTGAGATAACAATAAATTCGCACAAACCAATCTAAGAAAAAAAATTACGCACCTGGATGAGAAAACCTCTACGTAGGAGGTATCCCAATGAAGTAAGATAGGACCATGTCGACAATATAGTATCAAATTTTTGGTTAACATCAGAAAATATGTTTACCAAAACAGACGTTCAAGACATACTTGCCATTCATGATCAGGTAATTATAACCAAAAAATACCCAAAATATTGTATTAAAGATCCTCAAGCATAAAACGAAAAATGTCGGTATGGAAGCCTTGCCCAAAAAAACCGTCGTCAACATTGACAGCATTTGTCGAAACTGATTATAAAGAATGGCATAATTCACTTTGATAATAATTAGCCAACACTCTGGATTTTCTTCAAACTTACCATCCCCGTTGTTATAGACGTTTTCCCGATATCATGCTTGAAAGTGTGAACTACAAACTGTAATGGAACAAAAGTAAGTTTCACCATGGATAGGATTATTAATAGGTTAATACCTTTAAGTTGTTGGATATTTTTATTGTGTCTGTTACGTATCATAACTTCAATATTTCCTAATTTTGTTTGTGTCCAATATAGATAAGTTTATGCCTTGACTTTAGAGTTATCTTTTTCTTTGCGTCTAACTACACACATACCCATAATGTTCTATTTGATGTGTTTTAACCTTTCTTCTAATTCCAGTAACTTTTCTTTCAATGACAGTGTTGTTACATTGTAAGTGGCATGTTTTTATTGTGTCAAGCATGTTTGGATTTTAGCCACACTCTACCGCGTTGGCCAGTGTGAGTTGGTAGAGGGTATGATGAAGATGGGATTGTAAAAGGAAGAGACTGAAAAGAGTGTGAGGACCTGGACCACTGAGGCAAAAGAAGGAAGGGAGAACCAGCAGCTAACATAAGGCAGGGTTTACAATCCATATAGGAGCCTGTCTTCTTCTGGTATTGCGGAAGAGTGCTGTAATCTCGCTTTCTGAATATCATCATCATCATCATCATCATCATCATCATCACGTAGCGCTACAATCCTGGGTGGGTCTTGGCTGACTGTATAACTTTTTTCCAATTTGTTCGGTCTTCCATCAACCGAGGGTCAAATGGAATGTTCATTTTTCGAAGATCTGCTTGAATATTATCTCTCCATCGCATTCTGAAACAAGATAATCTACAAAATACTCCCACAATCGCAAATACTACTTCCTCCACACTTACTATGTCTTCTGAAACCACATTACAAACAGTAGCAATTCCAAATTTATCAATAAACCAAACCCAACAATGCTCACTACAAAAAACATTTATACATTTGACCACTTCTTCAGATAACACTAAAATCGCAACACCTACATCGTCTGAGTCATCCTCTAATACCCAAAAACATAAATCAACCTCACCCCAAACAAGTCAACACTTACCTCCAAATAAAAATATACATATGAATTCTCACGAACCCCAGATAACCTTTAACAAATCAACCAGAAAAAAGATGCAATCACGCCACCCGTCGAAGAAAATTTTTGAAAAACCTAAGCTTCGATTAAAGAAAAAATCCAAAACTGATGACAAAAACTTAAAGATGAGATACCAAATCTACAAACATTACTAGAACCAGTTAAAGAATATGTAGAAAGAGAAAAGTAATTGTTAAGCTTTGATCAAGTAGTGGATCTATTCGAAAATATACAAGGATCAAAAGACATAATCAGGGTAACAAAATTATACTCAGAGGACTCTCATGCACTTATAAAGTTTCTAACGGAATTACATCCATAATACATCGATAAAAAACTGATTTCAACTCATCGGTAAATAATTCCTCTAAAGAATAATAAGATCACTGTTGACTTCATGTTTTTTCCATCACATTCAGGTATACAAGGAAATGAAGAAGCAGTGGACTGCATCATAAAATAAACTCAAGGAAAATCAAACAATTAGTGAAACCGCGGCTAGAACCCACAGCAAATAGACACGACCAAGTGAGAATAATACGTTACTAACTCAGTGCAAAAGATATGAAACAGCAAGAATCTATCTCAAATAATATAAAGGAAGCCTTAGGAAAAAACATGAACATTAAAAACATAATAAGTTGTCTTAAAGACTCAGGACTGTATCAATTATTGTAATTTTTTCTAACTTTACCTGTATTATATTTTTTATGTCGCTAATAACCCTTGTGGTTACAGCGTAAATGAATAAATAAAAAATATTATTATAATCCATTAAAACACTTACTTTTGCTACCTCATAATGCTGAGGATTTAATACACCAACATAAACAATATTCACATTTTCATCTTTGGCCAATTTATCATAACCTTCATAAGCATTAGGAATACCATGAGTTTTAGCGAATTTATCAGAATTACTTTGAGTCCTACTCGCAATTGCCACAACCTTATGATCAGATAATGGCAAGGCCTTTAAGGCTGAGGCAAAATCATTAGATATTTTACCAGCAGCAGCAATTCCCCAATTTAATATCATTATTTAAGAATATCTGAAAAATTTTCAGTATCACTAAATTATCGCTTGGATTATAGTTTAATCAAATAATCACAAACTACCCGTCTTAGAAACTTAAAAGAACGAATATATTTTTATAACTCAAGTTATTTATCATTGTTATGATGTATATATCTTTTTATTTCATATCTGAAGTCAGCAATAAACATATTTAATTTAATGGAATGTTAAATAAAGTTTATTGACATAATTCATTTTGCAAATATTTAGAAATTTTATATCATGCTATTGTTTCACTGCTATGTCATCGGTATATTATATGTAAACTTTATATTCACGAAGAATGCTCGATTTTTTCTCTTAAATTTTTTCTAATTGTTTTTTAAATTTAAAAAACTTGAAACCACAAAAAAAATCTCCCACATGCAGATGGAGTAAAAAGTGATAGTAAATGGGTATCAGTCCACCACAAGAACATTCAATGAAACGATGATAGTCCTGAATTTAAAAACACCAAAACAAGCTACACTCATAGATTATTGGCTAATCAAAACTGTCATTAGACGCCGTTTGATTACTGCCGGTGATTATAATGCCAAATATCATAAATGGAGCTTGTTAGAATGGAAATGGATTGTTAGAATCGTAACCTCGCGCAGATGAGAATTGTTAAAAAGATTAAAGATAATCATTTGATTCCTCTCTCTTATAGGTATATAGACTCTGCCTATTAAATCTATTAAGAAATATGACATCAAAGAAGTAATTGATAATGTGGAAATTAAAAAGTCACCTGGATATGATTTAATATCTAGTTTAGTACTAAAAACTCTACCCAACGAAGGAATAAGCTTAATTACCTATATATTTAATTTAATATTAAATATAGGTTATTTTCCAGTCCAATGGAAAGTAGCTTAGATTGTTTTTATTCCAAAACCTAATAAGACTCACACGGATGTATCTTCATATAGCCCAACTAGCTTGTTGACTATTATATCCAAAGTACAGTAGAACCCCTCTAATCCGTCACCCTCGGGACTAGCAGTATGGTCGGAACGCAAGAAAGGTCGGATTATCAGAAAAAGTCATTGTGTATGACGTATGTATGTGTTTTTAAAAAACGACTGTATTATTCTCTACAGTGATATAATAAATAATTATATTTCAATAAAATACAAGAAAGCTTTTGTTTGTACATTATTTATTAAATATGTATGTAAATATATAATGTCAAAAAAGGTAGCATAAAAATAAGTGCTTACCTATGTAGGCCTACTTAGTAAAAAATCAGTAATAGATTTTTGTTTACAAGATGAAATTCTGGATTTAGCTGCAATGTTCCTCCATTTTTTCATCCACACGATGTCCATCGGTGTTGATGCTGAGTTCTGCTCAATGTACTGAAGGCCAATTTCAAAAGCATTCTTGGCATCAGTGAGTGAAATCCGGACAGGAGGCTCGTCATCATCATCACTGTCGGATTCTGAGTTCACGATTCCGTCACCGACACGTTCCATAACAGCGGCAACAATTTCGTTATCGTTCAGCACTTCACTGGTTTCGCAGTTTTTGTCACATTGTTCAATCCACTCCTCAACTTCACTAGCAGGTATATTTGCATCCAGGGTCTGAAGATTGGTAACGATTTCCTGCACGTCGTTTTGCTCATCTTCGACCTGGTCAATTTCGATCATAACTTCTGGCCAAAGCTTACGCCAAGATTTTCTTAGCGTGTCAGGATTTAGTTCTGCCCAAGACTCAGCCATTGTATAGATAGCATCTTTAATGTTGAGTGATTTCATGGCTTGGAAAATATCACATCCTTCTTCGGATTTTTCTAAAATCGAGCTTATGTATTTTCGGCGATAACGCCTTTTAAAACATTCTATCACGCCCTGGTCCATAGGCTGGATAAGTGATGTGACATTTGGTGGGAGGAAGATAGCTTTTATATCCCCTTTTACTAAATCTTCCTCAGAAGGGTGCGATGGTGCGTTATCTAATAGCAGTAGAGCTCAAACAGGAAGATTTTTTTTCGTCAAGTCCTTCTCAACACATGCCACAAACTCGTCAAAAAACCAAGATTTGAAAAGATTGCAGTCCATTCAAGCAGATTTTTGGTTGCGATAATAAACCGGCACGGATGATAAGTTTATGTTTTTAAAAGCCCTGGGCTTCTTAGATTTGCGTATGACAAACAGCGAAAGCTTGTGTGTTCCACCAGCATTGCTACAAGGAGCAACAGTTAGCCTATCTTTCATGAGTTTCGTTCCCGCTACGGTTTCATTTGACGCACTTAAGGTTTTGTTTGGAAGCATTTTATAGTTTAGGCCTGTCTCGTCTATGTTATAGACTTGGCAAGGTAACAGTTCATTTTCTTTTACAATTTGTTGAAACTTCACAGAAAACTCCTTAGCCGCCTCGACGTCAGCAGATAATTTTTCACCACAAATTGAGACAAACCGGATACCATGACGGGTTTTCCAACGATCAATCCAGCTTTCACTGGCTTTAAATTCACTTCCGACTTCTAGTTTTTTGTGCAAAATTATTGCCTTTTCTTTTATAATTGGGCCAGATATCGGAGTTCCCTTCCTTCTTTCTTGACTGAACCACATTCATAGAGCACTATCAAGCAGTTTAAGTTTAGGCTTTTTTAATGTTTTTTCGCTTTTTAAGAGCGTTTTCTCCATCTACTATCGTCATTGTATGTGATTCAATTTCTTTTCGATTTTTTCTCCAATCCTTAATAGTCGTAACGCCTACATTCAGTTCCTTGGCAATTTTTTGTAGTGATTCACCTTTGTCCAGCCTTTGAAGCACTGCAAGTTTTTCACTTAACGAACGCGTAACGTGTTTACGTTTTGCTCCTGATATGTTGAAAATAATGTACACACTTTAACTCACAAAGTTCGAAATAATACTGACAGAATGGATTGTGATTTTCGGAGAAATTTTCGTCGTAAACAAATCGACCGCCGGGGATTTCCGCGTAGCCAAGCAGGTCGGATTACCCGGAGCGTCGGACTATCCGAGGGCGGACGAGAGGGGTTCTACTGTAATGGAACTGCTGAGAAGACAAGAGCTTATTTTATATGACAGTAATGTTTTACCGAAGTATTAGTTCAGGTTTAGGAAACAACATGGTACCATCGAACAAATTCATAGGATGGTAAACACTATCAGAAACTCGCTCAAACAGAAACATTACTGTACTGCTGCATTTCTAGATGTCTCTCAAGCATTCGACAAAGTTTGGCATGTAGTCTTATCTCTAAAATTAAATCCATATTTCCTTATCCTATAAGTTCACTTTTAAGATCCTACCTGACAGATCAAGTCTTTCTAGTCAAAGGTGGCGGGGAATCACTTACCTGTTTAAAATATTTTTCGGAGTTTCACAAGGAAGCATACTAGGACACACCCTCTATTTAATATACACATTAGATCTCCCAATGACGACCAATACAACAATCGTTACATATGTCGATCACATAGTTATCATGGTTTAAAATTCTACAGCAACTGAAGCATCCCAGGTATTGCAAAATCACCTACTTAAACCAGAGAACTGGCTTAGACTAGTGAGTCCAAGTCAATAGTTTAAAATTAACACAAATAACGTTTACTTTAAAAAAGGCGATATGCCACCAGTTTCTATAAACAATGTTGTTTGAAATGAACAAAAATATGTAACAATAATGCATCTATATGCACTACATAATATATTGCGGATTTTAGTGACCTATATTAGAAATAAATTTTACAATATAAATAACAATAATTTTTTTACACTACCTTGGAGTAGACTGTATTGGGATGATGAAAATATTATAGTTCTCAGCTGCCAATTTTTTTTGGTAGCATTATTAGTTGTGTTAGCTTTTAGGATCCTCTAACGTTTTTTATTTCTATGAAAAAATAAACATCTGCAAAATATTTGTAAATAAAAAAAATGCCAGACACGTATTAACCATTTAACTGATAAGAAAACATGTGTGATTGATTTTCTAGTGTTTTATCATATCCTGCTTAAAAGTGAGCACCTGTGATGTTAGATAAAAGCACTAATTTTTAGTTTTATCAAAAATCAATAGGTACCTACGATAACATATTTATATTTTGTAATAATCCAAGTGAAACATAAACGGTGTTTGGATGCAGTAAAAAATACAATATTTGTTATAACGGTCTTTAACATACAAAACACAAACATGTATAATCGAAAAAATAAAAGCAGTGAAAGTAGAAGTGAAAATATGGAGTAAGTACATAAATTTATTGACAGCTTTTGAGAGACCCACAGAACTTTCATCATTTTTCTGCACTTTTTATAGTACTAAAGTAGTCCAATATGTTAAGCATACAACTTTCTGCTGTTTTGTTTAATGAAAAACAACTGTTTGTCACTTTCACAGCGTTTTTTCTGCAGTTATTATAATACTAAATTAGTCTAAAATGTCAGTATATAACTTTCTGCTGTTTTGTTTAAAGATTAACTTAAAACAACTGTTTGCCAATTCCTTAGTGTGTCTTTGAGTTTTGTTTTATTGGTATTGGATTACTCCTCCTCCTCCTCAGTCCTAATCCCTTTTGGGATGTGGCGACACCATAAGGCCTTTACAGTTTTTTCACGATTTCCCACCATTTTTTCCTGTCCTGGCCTAGTTGTTCGGCTTCATGTAACCCTTGGTTAATTAATATTGTTGTTTGCTCTACTTAACGTTTTGGAGATTTTCCCCTAGGTCTCTCTCCTTCAACTCAACCCTTGACTATCAGTTTTTCCATCCTACGTGTTCTTCTAGCAATGTGTCCAAAATACTACAAGTATCTCTGTTATATTTGCTTAAGCAATCTATCCTTTACTTTAAGTTGTTCTAATACGTTAGTGCAATGATCAATCCAGGATATTCTCAACATGCGGCAATATACCCACATTTTAAAAGCGTCTAGTTTATTTTTATCCTTTCGGATGCATATGTGGCTATGAGTGGAAAAATGTTTCATCAAACCTGGTCTAGCAATAGTCAACCTTCTACTTATATCTCTGTCACGTCACACCCTCCGTCATTTGTTATTAGGGACCCTAGGTATATGAAATTATTTACTACTTCAAAACCCCCAATTTCTTTAATGTGTTAAAGACTAGTCCGAGCTCTGTCTACTATCATGACCTTTGTCTTACTCCTATTTAGCTTTAGTCGATATGTTTTGCATTTCTCCTCCACACATCTTATTATATCTTCCATTTCTTCTTGATTTGCCGATTATTAAAGTGTCATCAGCATATCCCAAGTTACTGATTTTTTGACCTCTTCTAATATCTGAGTCAATAGAAAAGCTTTTAGTTTTTCATGTATTACATGTACAAATCTTTTTGCAGATCATATGCATAACATTTACTCCAACATCTCCAGTCTGTTTTAAAACTTCTGCGATGATCTGGTCTGTGCCAGGAGATTTTCTACTTTTTAACTTTTTGATTGATTTTTCTATCTCTGACTTTAGAGTGTTTGGTTCCCTCTCTGCAGTAAACTCGTCGCGATTTACATTCTGGGGACCATCTGCATATAAACTTTGACAATATTTTCTCCATACGTCCGCAATCCCTTTCTGGTCATTTATAATATGTTGGTTTTGATCCATTATTGTTTGTGTGATTGGTTTAATTTGAGCTTTGTTATATAGCTCATGGGATTCATACTGGTTTGCATGCCTCTCTAGTTCTTCGCATTCTTCATTTATATGTTTATTTTTACGATCCCTACATGCTCTTTTAGTTTCTCTATTTAACCTTGTTAATTCGTTTTTGTTTCTGTCGTTTTAATATATGAGAAATTGATTCTTCTTCGCTCTTCGAGAAGTTGCAGCGGTCTGTCTGTCATCCAGTGTTTTCTTTTGATGATCTTTTTTTCGGATTACACTTTAACATAATTGAAAAACTAAGCAAAGATCAAAAAGCTAAAAAACAGAAAATCACCGGGAACGGACGGTATACCCAATGAACTTTTAAAATATGGAGGCCCGAAACTTGCAAGTAAACTGGCACAAATATTTAACAAAATATTAAACAAAACAGAAACACCAGAGGAATGGCATAATAGTATCACAATCCCCATATTTAAAAAAGGACAAAAAACCTGCCCACAAAACTATAGAGGAATAACCCTCTTAAATACAACAATGAAACTTTTCACGGGTATTCTCAAGGACAAATTGGAAAAGCAAATCACTAATGCTGAAGAACAACAAGGTTTTACAAAAGGGCGGTCTATAATAGACGCAGTATTTGTAATAAAACAAATAAAAGAAAAAGCTATAGAGTTCGGCATGCCAGCGTATATTTGCTTCATTGATTTGACGAAGGCATTTGACAGAGTTCGCCTGGGAGACATTCTAAATATATTAATAGAAAATGAAACACCGACCAGTATAACAAAGATACTCCATAACCTAAATAACAACAACGTAACCAAAGTTAGAGCAGGAGACGAATTCACTGAAAATATTCCAACACCGGGAGGAATTAGACAAGGCGACAGTTTAAGCCCCTTCTTGTTTAATCTTCTCATGGGCAAAATTATCAACAAAGTAACATCTCTTAATCTCGGATATAGAATGGGCAACAAAAGAATTGGTATGGTGTGCTACACAGACGATGCAGCAATTATTGCCGAATCAGAAGATGATCTCCAAAGGCAGCTCTTTCAGTTCTTTCAAACAAGCCGACTATTAAATATGAACATCTCTACCAACAAAACTAAATGTATGACAATAGCAAAAGATCCGCTCAGATGTAAGTTAGTGGTTGAGGACAACCCCATAAAACAGATGATGCAATTCAGATATCTGGGCATAGATATATCAAGCACCCATGACCCAGTAAAGGACCTGAGGAGTCAGATCAATAAAGCATCTGCACTGTCAGGATGTCTGCGGGAGATAGTCTGGTCTAATCCGTATATGCGCACAGATAGTAAAATTAGAATCTATAAGACTTGCATACGACCGATCATGACATATGGCATAGAAGTGCGCGAAGATGCCAACAAAACGAAACAGATGCTAAGGGTTGCCGAAATGAAAACCCTAAGAACAATAATGGGGAAAACAAGAAGGGACAGAGTGAGAAATACAAACATTAGAGAGCAGTGCAAAATTCAAGATATTGTAAGATGGGGAAGACAGCGCAAGAGGATGTGGTACAACCATGTAAGACGAATGGATGAGAATAGACTCCCAAAAATTGCCCTAGAAAACAATCCGCCTGGTTCAAGACCCCCCGGAAGACCACCTAAAAGATGGAGGGATAGTTGGCAATCTACCTCCCAAGAAATTAACCAGAGGCAGCTTCAGAATTAAACAGATCGAAAGATCTACAACAAGTAGAAGAAGAAGAAGAAGAAAAAACTGGCTATAAATATCAAAACTAAATCATTGTCGGGATTAAACTGCATCTGATTTTGGTAGAGTAAGTTTTCAACTTCCTCTGTAGGGTCTTCATCAAGATATTCTGATATACTTGTACAAACTTTACTTTTCATTAACAATTGTACAAAATATTTTTCTCCTTCTTCTTATTTTTGTGTAGGCATGACCCTGTCAGTGTTGCAGTGTTGTTTTTGTTATTTTTATTGATGCATCTTCAACATATTTGTTTTTTCGATTGTAATTAATCTCAATTTATATTAATTTTCATGTTTTAATTGCAGAAATGATGAATCAGTGACAGAAACACCTCGCAAAAGAAATAAAAAAGTGACGTATTTAAGACATTTTCCCAATGTCGTCGAAGAAGAAGTATTGCGAAGATATCCTTGTGCATTGGTCATTGACTTTCTAAGACAAGGTTACCTGTATGTCACAAAGAATTATTTGGCCTTTCATTCAAACATATTCGGATATGTTACCAAAGTAAGCAAGTAAATAATTTTATTTTTAAAACTAATTAAAACATATAACATCTTGTTCTCACTATTGTACATTTTAGAATATTGATAAAGGCAAGGATTACCTGCCGAAACGTTGATTTAAATGGAATAGTAAAATCTAGTTCAAAATTTTCTTTATTTCTATATTAAAAAAAATATCTTCTTTCTATATGGACATTACTTGTTCTATCTGAATATTTTTAATTTCCACAATGGATAATTCAATATTAATTTTATGTTTTCATTGTGTATTGATTGATATATTTACGCTATATTCTCCTTTTAGCTTTTAATTCCTTTGCTTAGTATTGAAGATATTACAAAGGAAAAGACCGCAAAAATAATTCCCAATGCTATAGGAATACAAACATTGGAGGGCAAACATACATTTTCCAGTTTCTTGTCAAGAGATAGGACGTTAACGTTTATAACAGAAGTCTGGAAACAAGCCAAACATGCGGAAACTATATCTTTGGATTCATATGAGAGGGTAAGTTTCCCTTAACATAATTTTCTTGTAGTAATGACATAGAATGATCTTTCTCCTGTTGCCGACAAGAATGTAGAGCGTAGAATAATTTTAAATAATTTAAAACTGTTTGCCCTTCTTTTAGTGTAGTGTCATGTACAATTTATGTTCATTTTCATGTTTATTACATTCTGCGCTTGCTGGATAGCCCATATTTGATGAAAAGCCCCTGCTGATGCTGTAGAAAGCGAAAGTACTTGGGCAAAATTTTATTATTAAAATTGTGCGCGATATTTGCCTTTAATTTTTCAAAGTTACAGATTATTGTTTTCGCCTTATAATTTTTCGTTGATATTGTTACCTTGATTATGTCCAATGTCATTATTTCTGCCATCTACAGATCGTGTTATCTCTTCCGTTTTCTTCTTTATAATTTCAAATTTATCTGGTATGTCTGAAAAAGAAAAGAAGTAGCCTTGTTTTATTTATATTCTTTAAAAGCCTTCGGATTTCTACGGTTTTATGAATTGTTCTGGGCTGAAATATGGATTTTTGAAGACAAAGTTTTTTTCTTAAACAACAAGGAATTTTTAGTGTCTTTGTAATGTTCTGACATTGCATAACAAGAGAAAATACAGCATCTAACATCTAATGCTTCTCTGGCTGGTGATTTGATATACATATTACAGGAATATCATAAGAAGAGGAAGGAAGAGAAAGACGAGGTACACACTAGGAAATTTTGCCGGAAAGTGATCCTAATGCCTATTTTAAATTTGTAATTGGGTTAAATCATAAAAAGAAAGCGACAGATGTAGAAGTAAGATCAGAGTTAGATGTACGCGAATGTGAAGGAGTATCTAGATGTCGATGTTCCGTAAAATGACAAAAGCCTATCCATCTGAAAGACCATATTACTTAGTAGAAGAGTTTCTTAACGAGTAACTAAGAAATCGCAGTACCTTTATGTACAATTAACTAAATATTTTTTTCTGTGTTTAGATAGATATCATATTATGCACTTCAACATTGACGATTTATATAATTTCAGTAAATTGTCATTTTAATTGTTATTTTCTGAATTTTTGTAAACTTTGTCCATAAAATTATACAATTTTCAGTGACACTAAAGCATATATTTATTATTGACACTATTATATTCCCCATGTTAAGGATGAGTAATGGTGGATGGTGAGTTGTCTACGAACTACATTAAAGCTAAAAGAATGCAACATTTAAAAATCTATAAAATGTCAAACATCATATTTCATCCTTTTCCTTCATTTTATAAGTTTATTATCAGTAGTAATATCCCTAGGATATTGATAACAGACGAGATAATTTCATGACAATCGAAAGCTCGTTCCTTGGTAACAGCACGAAGCCGAAGACTGAGTGCTGTTACCAAGCATCGAGCTTGAGAAATTTGTTATGAAATTATGAGGCATTCATCAATGCCCGAGGGATATTCGGCGGATAATTTTTCGAAAAAAAAAAAAATCATAACTCAACATAACGAAACATTTATTTATTAAAAGTACAGTTAGTGAAAGTACAATTATTAAAATTTAAGTTTAAGTTAAGTAGGTTGTGTTTCTGGGAACTTTTTCTTTGATTAACGCATTTATACTTTGAACATTCTCATTGCCGAAACGTGACATTTTGAACTTTATTTGGATGAAGTTGTCAAACTCGATCGTGTTGTCATAGGGATTGAAAATTGCACTAAATGCAATTATCAGTCTAATGTTGACATGATTGGGTGAAATTGTTCCACATGACACAAAATGACGAAATTTGAATGGTTGTTAGAACAGTCGAAAAATTATCAACTTTTATAATCAACTTATCGCATACTGAATGACTGAATTTTAAGCAAGTTGAAAAATTTGAACACTGTTGTTGCATTATTTTAGCTTTAATGCACTCATCCTTATCAGGGTAAATGCTAATACACACGCTTTATCAGTGTAAGTGTAATAACTTTTGACAGCTTTGACAGAAGAGGTTCAAAATATATCAATGCTTAAAACTAAAAACAAAAATAATGTATAAAACCTTTTTTTTTTAATTTTAGGACTCTGATTACAGTATGTGTTCATCTGAAGAAGAAATCGTCGAAGAAACTCACAAAACTAGTGTGACCGGTAAGAAAGCTTTTTATTATTTTTTTTTAAATTTTAATTTTGTAACAAAATGTTAAAATTAATGTGATTTATCAAACTCAAAAGAGAGATCTGATTATTTGTGCTCTGGTATTCCCTAAAACAGGGCTTCCCAAACTTATTTGTACTGTAACGCCCTTGAGACATTTTTTTACGACGCTTTTCAACGCAGCTCTATAAAATACCAATTTTAGTAGCATATTCTGTCCTTTTGAGCTTGGTAGCTCAGCACCTCATTATAACTTCAAAAATGTGTTCGAACCATTATTGACCTATATGTGTTCTTTATTACTACAACTGCAGAAAAGCCTCTTTTGCAAATGGTAATAAAACTTTTATTACCATTTTGCAGACGATACAGTAATAATTACGGATAACAACAATGATTTACAGAAAGTAATGCAACGCCTTAATGAACGCTGTCATGAGTACGGACTGAAGATAAATTTAAAGAAACCTAAATGCATGATCATGACTAAATCTGCACATGCAAATATCCAATTGACTATTGAAGATACTGCAATTGAGAGTGTTAATAACTATAAATACTTGTAAACGTAAATGTAGACCAAACCAAAGAAATTAAGACACGTATTGAAATAGCACGTACATCATTTATTAAACTTAAAAAGTTTCTTTGTTGTCGGGATATAAGGTTAGAACTACGCCTGAGAATGCTTCGATGTTACGTGTTCTCTACTCTTCTTTATGGTCTGGAAGCTTGGACACTAAAACAAGTTCATCTGAATAAGTTGGCCGCCTTTGAATTTTGGTGTTACAGAAGAATCCTACGAATATCATGAACTCAAAGAATGGCAAACATGGAAGTAACTAGAAGGATAGGAAATGAGGCGGAAATAATATTAACTATTAAAAGACGAAAACTTGAGTACTTGGGACATGTGATGAGAGGGCAAAAATACGCATTATTACAACTTATTATGCAGGGCAAAATCCGAGGAAAGCGAAATGTGGGAAGACGAAGAATATCCTGGCTTAAGAACTTGAGGGAATGGTTTGAATGCAGTAGTGCAGAACTTTTTAGAGCGGCAGTCAACAGAGTCCGCATAGCCATGATGATTTCCAACCTTCGATAGAAGATGGAACTTAAAGAAGAAGAATAAAACTTTTAGTGCTGCAGTTGTCTTTGCACGATAATTATGGAAGACTGAACTCCAAATTTTAAACAGTTTGTCCTTGTCATATTGAAGCATTAGGCTCGAATCACAGGACAATTATATTAGTTATTCTTCTTCCTCTGTTAAAAGTGTCGTTGGTGTAGGCGACTGGAAAGTGATTCTAACCCAGTGATATTGCCTTAGATTTTCGGAAAAATATTTTCAAAGTATTTGCTTAATGAGGTGAAGTGCTATGTAAACATTATTTTTAAAGAATTATCGAGGATATCTATCAATTTTTCTCATAGAATAATTTGTGTTAAATTTTTCACATGCGAAAAATCATGTCATATATTTTGCTGTATTAATTGCTATCATTTTTAAACACAATTTTAAAATCATTACCTAGTCCAACCCTTAGTAATAATTCTTACTCTCACTTCAATCCCACTCCTTTAGTTGACTGCCACTAGTAACAGACACACTCTCTCTTGACTGTTGACTGCTCCTCTTTATCCCAGACCTTCATGCCAGAAGTAGAGGTAATGGATTTTGGGAACAGCTATGACCTTGAACATTTCACATAAAGTTGTGTACTAAATAGGCATAATGCATAGCTCTTGTCAAAATCCAATACATTAATAATATAATTACATATCTTCGATTCTAAAATATTGTAAAAGACTTTAAAGAGTCTGAGTAAGAAAAGAGATTTAGTTATATTCTTTGTGACATTTTCAAGGTCATAGCTGTTCCCAAAATCCATTAACTCTACCAGGATGTATTGTCATTGCGTATTTCTGATATCGTAAAATTAAAACAATTTAATATTGATTATATTAAAAAGCTGATGTTTGACACAGAGGTACTACCAGGGCAGCTTGTAGGTTATATATTACCAAAACTGTATTTAATCCTTCTTCTTTTGCTTTTTCTTTATCTGAGGCTTTTTCAGTTCTACTTAGTTCTTTTTCCTCTTGATGTGACTTACACTGACATTGTAATTTTTCTTTTTATTAGTCAGGCGCGTTTTAAAATTATTCACACAAGTCTCATTGACCTTTCTTTGGGAAAATAAAACCAATATTGAATTGTGTAATCAATATGTGGGCGTAGAAATCATTTTTCGCAGCAGGCTGGCCCAAATCGTCTTGCTTCTTTTTATACTGTCTGTGAATTTCTGCAATGGATAAACCGCAATCTATAAACTCTCTTGATGTGTTAGCCCTTTGGTAATGGCTCTCTGTGCGGGGTATAGAATTTATATGTAATTTTACAGACACCATCATTTCAGGGTCAGTTTTTAAAATATAACTTTTTCCTAAATTCTTAAAGAGTTTAGCTTTATTTTTGCGCCATTCTCCTGGATTTGGTACTCTCTTCTAACCTTTTTTAATGACCTTTTCTGTATTATTCAGAAGGGTCTCTTTTCTCTATTATGGTAGGGTTCAAATTAGTTTCACTTTCCGACGATATTGTATTTTCTGATGGTACATAGTCACTATCTTCTCAAAATAAGCTGTTCTCATCATCTGAGGAGTGTTGCTCTTATTAGGCTGTTCGAGACATTTTTCTGAAAGTGATCTTGGTTAATGAGTGGGTTTCAACAGAATATGATGTACTGGGTTATGTTTCAAAATTGTTTGAAATACCTAGAGTATCTAAAAGTAATTATAATAAATAAAAGTAACTTTGGTTAAAAAAAGGTAAGTACTTACCCGGTCCAAGTTCACAAGGCGCATGTAGGAACATACTATTAGGGCCTAAACTCGAGGAATTCGGATTTAAATTCACTGGCTGCAATTCTGCTAAAATGACCGCATCATTGAGTGTTTCTGAAATATTATTGTTTTTCAATACTGATGGTTCCTCTGGAGTACTGTTCTCTTCTTTTAAATTGTGAGTGGCTAAATGAAGTATCAGCTCAGTTCTTTTTATTATTTAAGATTATACTCGCGTTTTATTTCTTCATCAAAATACAACTCTATTATATTGACTGCTTTTAAACACACATTTCACACAAATTTTCAATGTTATTTAAGTTAACAATGGCATCAATACCGGTTAAGTGACTATAAAACCTACTATTCAAAAACCATAACGACGTAAATGTGTACGTACTGTTTTAATGATCTAGCAAGTTGCCAGAGATATCAAATTTTCTAGGCGAACAATGACACAACTGTCCGTTACGCCGATATTATTCTGGGATTACACCAAAACTTTCTTTTACTTTGTCACAATCTACACTTATGTTGTTGTAGAAATATAAACCAAGTGTTCCGTTCGACAGTCTATAAACAACTGACATTTGCGGCGATTTCGTTCCAACAGTATGACCTAAAGTATATAATTTTGACAAAGATGCAACTGCTTCCGCCATCCGATAGAATGGTACGTTCTGATTTTTTTGACTTAACTTAAAACTGCAAAAAATTGCACTTACGTCATTTTTGCTCCGGAGAAGCGATATGTACACCCTTTTTTGTACAACTTGTAAAGCAGGAAAATATTCAGTTACTTGATCTTCTAATTTTTTCCCCCATAAGAGCAACTTGTTCTGAAACCCAATCTTACTATAAACTCTGTATTAAGATTGCTCATCTTTATGTAATTCTGTCTGTAGATACGTGTAAAATTTTTATACACTTGCGAGTACATTACCTTCGGACAATGAACAAGATTTGCAATAATAGATTGAAGAGGTATGCTCGACACCCAAATGTTCATCCAGCTTATGGAAAAGTCTTTTTCTTGGGTCGTGTTTTAATGTATTTCATCACTTAATAATGCTGTCACAAAACTTAATTTCTGTATGGATGACACAATGTGTTCGTTTTACACTTGGAGCCTTAGTATCGATGAGACCTTGTAGTCTTTCATACTGTAGAAATATCACTTGTGCACCATTCGTATGCTCACCCACACAGTTTTCCTGGTTCATTATTTTCGGTCATGTATGAATTTTAAATTTTATATAAATCAGTAGCGTTAATACATGTTTTTTCATCAAAATAACATACCCCACATAGAGTATGTACAGTAAGTAACATATCAGTTGAACATCATTATTACTCAGTCGCTTCACCCAATTGAATGGCAACTAAACCTGAAAGTTTCCCCACAATTTGCTCATTAATATCATTCGTTAAAACTTCACTATTTGCCAATTCAGTCTGCTATTGTTTTTTCACATGCTATGTCGAAAAATCTTAAAAATGATTAAAAAAAAATTGATTATTTGTTAATAACATAAATATATATTATAATATAGAATTTTTTTTAGATTCATTATCTAGAGAGAAAACTGAAACTGATTCGGTACCTAGACAGAAACCTGAAATCAAAGCTCGAATATCAAAACAATCCACAACCCATTTCTTCCTCTACTACGCTGCAATTATTCTGATTATTCTTCTTTTCTTATCAGCAGCAGTTTTGTTGCACCGTATACTTAGAATATATAATCGATATTCTTATGAAACTCCAAACGAATCAGAAAAGATGTATTATAAAGAACTGGAGAATTTTTTTCAAAAAAATCCTGAGATGTTAGCTAAATCATTTGGATCAATCCACAATTTTGCGGAAGAAAATATAAAACATGTGTCATCGGTAAGTAGAATTTATTATATTTTATTATAAAATGCATATATGCAAAATACAAACCTTTGACGGTCTGACGAATTGTGTTCTTGCGCTATATATTTTGGCTTTTCAATTCATCAAAGCGATAGCAAAGCTTTTGATGAAATCGTAAACTTTTGCAAATTTCGTATTACTCAAACGACAGAAAACATCTTTGTCATATTTTGTTAATCCTATACATTCCTCGTGGATATACTTACTACAATAAACACACTTGCGCATATCAGCCACTCTATCCTCATCACACAAGAAACAGTACCATGAATATTTTTTTAAATTTGGTTTTGGTTTTGCTGAGCTATAAGATTGTGCACTAAATAAATCTCTGGCAACTTCTTATAGTCCAGGCTGTGAGGCCGCTCCCGTTGGGAAAATGTTTCTGATTCGGTTTCTTCGCGGATTCCGGTTCAAAAATGTCCCCTTTAAACAAATCTGAAGGGTGCCGGGCGAAATTGTTTAAACAATTTTTTTTAAACAAATTCCAAAAATATTTTTTTTTATCTGGAAAACGTTTTTTATCTGGCGCACGGTAGCGCGCGGCGCCGCAGCGGCTCAAAAATCGAGTGTACGCGCATACTTAACAATTAAAAAACAACGGTCTAAATTAAAATAAGCCCCGATTACTCTTCACAATATTGAAGTTGAATGTTTAAACTTTAATTCAGACACTTGGTAACCTCAAAAATAATAATTTACATATGTGTTTTCAAGCCTCAAAAATGCGTATTTTCGCGTTTTTCAGACTTTAAATCGCTTATAACTCGAAAAATATCAACTTTAGAGAAAAATGACAACAGACTTTTTTGTTTAAATTGGCCCAAAAAACCTAAAAAAACGTTTTCCAGATTAAAAAAAAAATTATTTTTGGACTTTGTATAAAAAAATTGTTTAAAACAATTTCTGCCCAAAAATTTCGCCCGGCACCCTTCAGATTTGTTTAAAGGGGACATTTTTGAACCGGAATCCGCAAAGAAACCGAATCAGAAACATTTTCCCAACGGGAGCGGCCTCAGAGACTGGACTATTATGCTTTCGCATTAATGGCATGTCGAAGTTTTTTTGTTGATACTTGTAATCAGCAAACCACTGGAACTCAACTTGCATTTATTTCTTCACATGGGTCTGTTTCACTTTTTGCAACCTTATTTTTATCATATTTATTTGACGTGTAAACTGCATCACTATAATCCTCGCTGGAAACTGTACCACTTGTGTAAGACCCAGATGAGTCATTGTCTTCATCTGAGATGTAAGTTTGAAAAACTTTGGCCAGTCCTTTTTTGTGGTAATTTTTCTTTTCTCACTACTCGAGAATGCTTTGCTTTTATTATTTTTGTTTAAACCGCTGCAGGAAAGCTGTTCTTCAAAATTTGTATTATTTTTGCTAGTTGTTTCAATTTTTAGTTCGGTTGTAAGATTTTCTTGAAAATCTTCGGCAATTGTTTTAATCTCTCATTGTGTCAGACAATTAGGTGCAAAGGCAGCATCCGGAATAGCATTCGAATTGAATGGCCATATTCCAGTTGCTTCAAATCCAGAACAAATATTTTATTGCGTCATTGCGTTTTTCCAAACCAGCGTAAATATTTGCCCAAATTTTGCTCGGTTGATGGTACGTTTGTTATTATGGTTCACCCAAAAATTTATTCATCCCAGTAAGATTCAAAACTTCTGAAGACTGCTTTATCGAGTGGTTAAAGCTCATGGGTGGTATTGAACGGTAGACAAAACAGAGTTATATCTTTTTTATGGCAGCTTTTACATATTGTCTAAATAAGATGAAGGTCTATCAAAAATTAAAAGGCCTGCTCCAGAATTTTTAAATCAACATGGTTGATCTAACCACTCTAAGAATGCATCTGCTGTCATGCTTCCTTTCTTGGTCATTATAATTTTTGTTTCTGCTGGAAGATTACAAGACTATATTTGTTTAACTCTTGCCCTTTCATAATGATAAGTGACGGAATGCTGTTGCCTATGCCACGATTGTTATATTTTCGCCGTGTTCTGGTTCAAGGGTATGTACCCTTTTAGCACCTTTACTAGCCAATATAGTTTGTTGTTATTCTCATATAAAATCTATCTTAGTTTCTTGAAATAGTCACTAATAACTGTACGATTCAATTTTTGGGCTCTGGCCAAATTAAGTTTTTAAGCCCGACGCTTTGCAATGTTAGGGTGGAGTAAACACGTGTCTAGTATACTTCGCTTTGCTGTTTGATACTACCGATTGAATGGCGTAGACGATTTTGACTGGGAAAGCGGTTTAAAGTGTCATCTAGTAATATCTATACTTAAGGAAATATTTACAATTGGACTTATTAAGTGTCATTACTGTATATGCAATAGATAATCAAAATCTCAATGTACCTATATCAATTATCAATTGTACGACCTAAAGTTTCGTGAATGTTTATTCACTTTTTAGGTCTGAAATAAAGAAGTATCAGCAATAATATATCATACGCAAACTGTTAATTGTATTACCAATATGCTAAATTGTAGAGATAAGGTCTTCAGTATAGAAATAAGTTAAAAAAGATATGTAAAAAATAATATCTTTTTCTTCGCAAAAAAAACCAACACAACACTATACACAAGAACATATGGCTTGGTGACCATCTTTTAAACTTTCTTTGATATGCCGAGTTTGAATCCACGTTGAATAATTTTGGTTTTGATAAAACCTTTATATTGACGACGTTTCGACAAGGTCACACTCTCTATTGTCAAGTCAGGTAGTAACGATGCTTGCTGAAGCTTGAAGTGACTTCAATCACCAATAAGTAGCGATGCTACCTGCCTTGACAATGGCAAGTGCGACATTGCCAAAATGTCACCAAAATAATGGTTTTCATCAAAACCAAAATTATTCAACGTACCATACAGATATGTTTTTTGATGATGATCAGTAAACTATTTATTTAGCAGATATATGTATTACATTTAAAAATATTTTTGTTGTAGGTACGAAAGTCCCTAGAATCCCTATATTCTGCAATAATATCGGAATCTGAGAAATCAAACACCAACGATTTTAAAAAAGTTTAGTACAAGTATTTTTGTAAAGTAAATCTATGTTAGATCTACTATTACATGTAAGAATGAGAATATATTTATTACAATAAACATTTTTATTAGCTACAATAAACATTTTTATTAGTCACCAATGATGTTAAAAAAGTTTAGTACAAGTATTTTTGTAAAGTAAATCTATGTTAGATCTACTATTACATTTAAGAATGAGAATATATTTATTAAAATAAACATTTTTATTAGCTAACTGATTATTTTATTGCTACCGTTTTTATGTTCCTTACTATTTTGTGTACTTTAGATTTAACTAAATAATTTTAAGTATTTATGGGCTGTTATCGCCGTTATCGCTACTTAGCGTTATTTGAATTTTATTATGAAGCAATACATAATATCATTATATACGGTGTAGGTAAAAGTTTATGGTCGGTATAGTAGAATTTAACAGGATACCTAACACGGATATAAAATCATATTTTCATCGAGTAGACAGAGATAACACTCATATTTCCCCTTGGTCTCCCCTCTACATTCCTCATGCACGCCAATTAGTAAACGCCAGAAGATTATTTCCGATCCAGTTTATACGTAAGAAACAGCGGCAGGGTTGCCTTATTACATAAATTTGAATTAAAGTGTATTTAATTGATTCAAAAATTGGCGATCAGTGGCGCGGTTATATTGCCATGGATGATAATATTAAAAATGAAACACTAACTGACACAAATACTGGTAGAAAATTTCCTAAATCCATGAGAAATTTACAGATTCGCAAAAGACAAGATAATTTTGGCAACATCGCCATTCATCCGTTCTCTTCAATTGTAAACTGCAAATAAGATATAACTGCATTATAACTCCTATAAAACATGACAGATAGTTCAGTTAGTTACAGCATAGGCATGGATCCTTAGATCGTGAGTCAAACTCCATACCGTGTCAGTTGTTTAGACATTTATTAATTTGGTTGGTCTTTATTATAGCTATGTTAATTCAAGATTAAAATATTACTACTCTATTACGTTGTTCTAAGATCTAAAGTAACGTTTATTAAATAGCAATCGGCTAACTGCGAGAGTTGCAATACCCTTGCTCCAAATCCAGGTGTATCAGCGCAAGACCAAGACTGTATTTGGGCAACACTCTTGACTGTGATATGATCTGATCTTCCCGTGACTGTTGGCCTAAAACAATCTTTAGTATGCCAGTTGCCTAATTGTAATTCTGTATTTTTTCTCGTAGTCCACGTCCTTATTAAGGTTGCTTTTAAATGTTGTATTTGAGGCTTTGTGATCGGTACTATGTATCTATGAGCGTATTTCTTTTTTACCGGGGCAGATTATTGGCTTCACCTTCGAATTATCCTCTTTTATCTGAGCTTGGGATCGGCTTTTTTGCTGTTAAACTACTCTCCATACACCTCTGGTCTAAATAAAGAAGAAAACAATTAAATTTAAAATAAAATATCTGCTTAAACAGTTGTTTGAAGAAAAAACACATATATCAAATAATTAGGAAAATACTAATCTGTTTAGTATTTAAATATAGAACGAGTATTTACAGAGATAAACAAGATAAAAATATATGATAAAATTCTTTCAAGCAGCTGTTATTTACTTTGAAAAAATTGATAAATTCAAACCAGAATTTCCAGTCAAAGACTAAAACACCAGGGATTTGTTCTTAAAAAGTTAGTGACTAAATTAAATAAAAAACTGCTTTAGTTTACTATAAAGTAATGTTGTCCATATTATAAAAATATATGTATTTGCACTAGAAAAGCTGTATGACTTTCTAATGAATTACAGTGTTGTTGCGAAAGAAACCAGAGCCAAAGAAGGAGTCGCCGTATTAGTACTCAGAAATGTTTAACACTAAGTTTAAGAATGTTAATATATCTCTGAAAAAATAGATAGTTTAAAAGTCAAACTGGATGTCAACCTCTGAATGTGATAGCAATCTATGCACCTGAAAACAACAGAGATACCGTCAAAAGATAAAACTTGTATGAACAACTTCAGACTGTAATAAAAGAGACCCCAAATGATAAATATATAATCATTATGGGTGACTTTAACGCCCATGTTGGCATTGATGTAGTTCCAGGAACAAAACAGCGATACAATGAAAATATCAGAAATATAAACGGAGACCCTCTGACGCACCTCTGCAGCATAAATGAAATACTTATTAATACTGTATTTTTCCCTCGCAAAGAACAATAAAAATACACATTTGAAAATACTAGAGATTACTACTACTAGAGACTACCGCAACATGCACAAAAAGATCAAAGAATTAACATCTAAAAAGAAAACCAATAATACCCACCCGACACTAATAGACGCAGACGGTAACCTTATATCAGACGACTTGAAGCTCACATGGAAAGATTACGTAAAACGACTTTTTAACGATAAACGCAGAGCGACAGTGGACCAAGATGACGACATGACTGGGCACGAAATACTAAGGTCTGAAGTGGAAAAAGCCATTTCATCGCTAAAAAACGACAAAACACCAGGTCCTGACAACGTACAGGCGGAGATCATAAAACTCCTATGCGAAACGGATGACCACTTCCTCGATTTTCTGACAGGCCTTTTTAACACCTTTTACGACAAAGGGGAGATTCCGGAGGAATGGCTTCGATCGACCTTTGTAGCCATACCTAAAACACCAAGTGCAAAACACGGTGATTAACACCGCTTAATAAGCTTGATAAATCACATTACCAAAGTTTTCACCAAAATTATACACAATAGAATATATAACAAATGCGAAGCAAATAATATCGGAGTCACAGTTCGGATTCCGAAGCGCATTGGGCACAATAGAGGCGATCTTTAGTCTGCAAGTTTTAATTAAAAGATGCAGAGATATGCATAAGGACGTCCACTTGTGCTTCATCGACTTCTCCAAGGCGTTCGATAAGGTCAAACATGATAAACTCATGAAAATGCTCAGGAAGATGCATATTGATGGCAAGGATCTGCGCATAATAACCAGTCTCTATTAAAACCAAAGTGCTGAGATAAAGATAGGCAATTTACATAGTGGGAAGACAGATATTAAAAAGGGTGTACGACAAGGATGCGTCCTCTCGCCGCTCTTGTTCAATATATACTCTCAACAAATCTTCAGAGAAGCACAGGGAGAAGTTTCGGAGGGTATCAAAAAACGGAGAGGTAATCAATAATATTAGATATGCTGACGACACAGATATTATCGCAAATGACTGCAACGAGCTTCAAAGACTCCTGCAAAGCATACACACAGCAAGTCAAAAATATGGTTTAGAACTCAATACAACCAAAACTAAATGCATGCTCATCAGCAGAACACAACAACCTCCGATGCAATTGACATTAAACAACCGAAAAATAGAACAAGTGGAGACATACACATACCTTGGAACCACAGTCAACACAAAATGGGACCAGTCAACAGAAATAAGATCACGAATTGAAGAAGCGTGAAACGCGTTCAACAATATGAAAAAGTGGTTCACAAGTAAAATCTCAATGGAACTAAAATTAAGACTGGTCAAGTGTTATGTCTTCTCGGTCTTGTTCTATGGAGCAGAGGAATGGATCATAACGGAAGCCCCCCTGAAGAAAATAGAATCCTTTGAGCTGTGGATATATCGCCGCATTCTTCGGATATCCTGGACAGACCACATCACTAACGTGGAAGTAATACAGAGAATAGGCAAAAGCAAAGAAATAATCTTCAAGGTAAAGAAACGGAAGCTTGAGTACTTCGGACATGTCATGAGGCATACTAAGTACCGGCTGCTACAGTTAATAGTCCAAGGAAGAATCGACAGTAGGAGGGGACCGGGAAGAAGACGACACTCATGGATACATAACCTGCGACAATGGTTCGGACTAACATCGACCGAACTATTCAGAGGTGCCGTAAACAAAGTCAAAATAGCCTTGTTAATAGCCAACGTCCGAAACGGATAGGGCAAAGGAAGAAGAAGAGATTAAAGATCTATGATAGACTATATTATGTCTACTAAAGAGTAACATCCCTATCAAATCTTGGATGTAAGAGTACTAACATCAGTAGAACCTTCTTCTAGTTCGTCACCGTTAACGAATATTGGCAATTATTCTAGCAATGATAATTTTATTCCTTGCTGCTCTAAATAATCCCGTGTGGATGTTACAAATCAAGTTCTTTAACCAGAATATTCGTCTTCTACTGACGGCTCTCTTATGCTAAACTTTTCCTTGCAGAATGCCTTTTACGCCTTTGAAGAGTTTACTATCAAGAAAGCTAACGCAAACATAATAAACACCTTTGAGATGTGGGTATGCAGAGGGATATTATAAATTCCATGGACACAACATTCTACAAATGAGTCTGTGCTTGAAGAACTAAATAATAGTAATAACTAACACTATGGTCATATTACTAGAAGGAGAAAGAGCATGGAATGACTGATCGTCGAAGGCAGAAGATCAAGAGGTAGATCTCCCTCACGGTGGTCTAATCAAATAAAAAATTTACAGGACTCTACCTTTTGAAAGCATCTCAGAAAACCAAAAATTGAATGGTCAATCACAGTCAATCAACCATCATGAAGCCACCATATGCTTGCATAGGATAACGGACTGAGGAAAAGAAGTTGCTTACGTCTTGATGATTACAAAATCCTGTGAAAAAGAAGAAATACTTTTAAGGTTTTAAATCATTTCAAATAATAATCGTCGATATTTTACTCATAGAAATAAATCAAAATATTAAAAGGTTCCGATAGATATCTATATTTTTCTAAATAAACACCTGAACAAATATCGGTATAGCTAACATTTGTGACACAATAAAATAATTAATAATTGGGAAAAATTGGTTTATTATAATCATAATAGATAACAGATATATTGTCTCTGTATCAGCTGGTGGACGAGTAAGAATTTTTGATAACAGTAAGCGATCTCGAATAAACGTTTATATCGACGTTTAGATCGTCGTATTTCAATATAAAGTTCGACCACTATTTTATTCCTTATAACTAGACTTCGGCAAATATGCAAATAAAAATGTAGAAAATATGCGCATAAATATGCACGTATTTACCCGAAAATATGCAAATATTTTACAAAATATGCATACAAATA